TTTTAACTTGTCAGTTGGTTCCCAGAGGAAGGTTGGCTTGTATTTGTTTAATTTAATAGCTTTTCATTCCGGATCAAACTAGCTGTCATTTTGTCCCAAAACTCGGACTTAATGATATTCGTCTAAGACCAAGGCAATTTGTTTATCCCTCCACTTCTGATATTATGTCGGAGATTAACGCTATTAATCACGAAAAGATCACGGAGCATTTGCCTCTTGACACCTCTCAGGAATTCGATGACAGCTTTACTGGAATGAATATTACTCAGATTCTTTCTTCTGCTTTCGGAACTGAGGTTTATCCTTATTTAGGTACTTAGCTCTTTAGAGGCATCATGAGCTAAAAAACAATGAAAAGGAAGAAAACAATGATTTAATCGATGCATCATCTCCAAGTCTACCTCTCGCTGGTGACTCGCTTGATATAAATGAACGTAATAGCGACTCAGGCATAACTCATTCAATACATCACAACTATGGAGGAGCTACTTGCAGTTTAAGTACGGATTTGCTTAAAAAATCGGCTAATTTTGTTCCTACTGCGCCTCAATATATTGGTTTTAAGACTGCGAAGAATGTTAATATAGCCTCCCCAAGCACTACTGCTCTTTTGAATGCTCGGAAATACATATGCGATCCCTATTGCAGTGTGAATTCTCAAGTTCCAGAGCTTGATAACTCGATGGCCCCGGGGTGCACTATTTCCTCTTCTGAGTCTTTTCTGCCTAATTATTTGGGTCAGGAGATCACCTCTCGGCCAAGTATTTCTTCAAAGGTGTGTGACCCTCAATCTATTACAAATGCTTGTGAGTGTCCCGTACCTCTTGCGCCGAGTGGAATCAGTCACTCTTGCGGCAAAAATGCCTCTTCTATCCTCAAAGAATCAGCTTTATTCTTCGCTTCCTCAGAATCGATTGATATTAAAGTCGCACAAGCGGTTGATTTCGACTTTTCTCGTAGTAAAACAATCTTAAACTCTGCTTCAAAAAGGACTAAAAATGATAATCTATCGTTGTCATTCTCTGCTGCCGGCAATTTATCTGAAGAGAAGACTGTGCCTCCCCGTTCTTTCGGGTTCAGAATGATGCATGATGTTGCTAGAACATCTACGCTAGAAGATACATGTTTAAATACCGGAAAGCTTTCCCCCAATGCTTCTACATTTGACAAAACCCCCACTTTTAGACCGGAAAGTAATTCTTTCTCCAACGCAATAAATATTCATCTTACGGGTTTTAAATCTGCTCGAGGGGATGATCTCGTCCCAGTAACAGAACTTGCTCTGACAAAGGCTAGGAACATTTTGTCTGATATCTATCTCAGCAAAACATCTCGTGCTGATACTTTTATCAAGCCTGCCTTTTCAGAGAAGCATGAAAATGTTGAGCCAGCCTCAAAGTGCATTTCTTTTGAGGCGTGTCAGGCTCCTGAAGAAAAGCGCATTATTGTACCTGTATCCCAATACTCAGAAAATAGCAAATCTGATGGTCTCACTGAAGCTGGTGGATGCGATGCTTTACATCTATCTAATAAAGTTCCATCTGACAATTACCTTAGTAACACCAGTGGCTTATCTCGCAATTTTTATCCCAATAAAATGTATAGAACCGGTCCAGATGGACAGTATTTTGACGAGCGAATTTCTATGTCTTCCGTTTCCAATTTGGAGGTAGATGCAGTTAACTCGTTTAATGACGCATTCGGTGAATCTCCACTCTTGTATCCTTCGTGTGATCCGACTTGTCATGATAAATGTGAGAGTCATCTGGATACCTTTGTCTCAAGGTCAAATAAGAAATTTGTTTCATGCGCTTCGAGTCAGTTTTTTCAATCCTCTCGCGGTTTGTCTTCTATACTTGCCAAACGTGAAGAATCTTTTGAATCTCACTCTATCCAAAGTGATCAAAAGCTCATCAGTCATGAGCAAGGCTGTGCTAACGAGTTAGCCCACTCCAGTGAG